CACCTGGTTCCTCCACTTCCAGAGCTGGCGAAGGGTCACCGGGCACTGGTAACTTCCGACTCCCCTGGTTTATCTTTGCTGGACCTGCGCCCCCACCCAACCACCCTGTAGATACCCAGGGATCCTTGGTCCCGACCTTACAAGTCATCACACACAGGAACTCTTTGCCATTCAGGAAATCAGCCCAAACCCTAAGACCCTTGAGTCGTGCAGGTCTGGGAAAGGAACGGGGTCTGTAAGTCAGAGCTGTGCTTGTTGTGACCCACCACCCGGGTATGGGGGTACCTGCCAGCGCTGCAATTCCTTGCTGAGCAGCTCTCGGGCCAGGAGAACCCCAGCCTGGAGTGGGGGGGGCGGGTCCTGAGCTGTCTGGCTGTCCGGCTCACAGGCCCCTGGGCCTGGCCCAGCACATCAGCTTTTCTTAGCCTGCAGGGTGAGTGCTGGGTGTAGCAAGGTGCGGAGTGAGCTCTTAGCACAGCAAAGAAATGGGGTTTGTGTGGTGCATTTGTCCATGATCCCTTCTCCCAGCCGAGCCTACTCCTGTTTGCACAGTATCCTCCGAGCTCTGGGCAGAATGAAGACCGATATGGAATGTCAGTGAAAAGGAGACCACATGGATAGAGCCTTCCAGAAGCCAGTTACCCCTCCAGGGAATGCATGGCCCTGCAAAGGAGTGAGCGCCCCATCTCTAGGTTTCTGCAGATGGGGACTGAGTGATCGGTGCGTGCTGTGATCTTCCAGGTTTGCTCTCTGAGTGCCTGTGGCCAGCCACCTTGTCCGGGGGATGCCAGGAGGATCCCTCCTGTGGTTTACATGGAGGCTTTGTGGTAAATGGCCCCAAACTAAGTGAACACCTGTGTTCTTGTTCCTCTGCTCTTGAATCCAGGTCACCTCTCTGGAGTCTCACAAGGTGGACTTGGCGAGGTGGGCTTCCTGCCTGTGGTCCCTCTGTCCCTAATCCCCTCCCCTTTCCTTCCCAGATCAGGGCTTTGACTAGTGGCCCGGGTGCTGGGGAGAGGCCCAAGGAGGTCTCCCTGTGCCGGCTGGAATCCGAGCATAAACAGATCAGGTTTCCAGTGTCAGCGGGGCCCCCACCACGGGCGGCCACGGCCATCAGAGAGGGATGACTCAGCTTCTGCCGGAGCCGGAGTTGGGGAGTGGGGCAGGCCTGGGGCCGGGCGCTGCCTGACGCTGGCTCCCTGCCAAGCCCAGGGGCCACTTGGTGGGTTTTTAGAGCCAGACAGCTGACGGACAGTGACATTCCACCCCAGGGCATGAGGGCACATTTCAGCTCCAAGTACCAGCCACCAGCTCAGTTTTCTGTCACTTAGCTCAGCCTCACCACAATTCCTCAGTTTCCTCATCTGTAAAATGGGAGCAGCAGATTTTGTCTTAGAGAGTTGAAGAGTGGCAGCCACTGTGGAGATAGACACGACATGAATTTGGAGCAAGGAAAAAAGCCTGGGCGCCTGGGGTGGGCCTCGGGGTGAGTTCAGAGAGAGCAGACAGAGCGGAGGCCTGGCTGCTGCAGGGCACTGGGGCACTCTGCTGCTCTCCAAAAGGGGGGTCGTCTCAAGGCACCCAGAGGTGCCTTGGAAGAAAGGCCTGGCAATCCGCGTCTGGGGTGGAAAAAGGTCTACCATTAACAATTATATGGAACACAGTTCTACCCAGACACTCACAGGGTCCCCGTGAGTGGAGACTGACTCAGCAGGAGCTGGTTTGGGTTGAAGAGTATGAGAATGGAGCCCTGTGCCAGGTTGGCACAAATAGATAAACCACTCAGATAATAACCGAAAGATTGGCAATCTGGGTGGCACTGTTGAAGAAAGACCTGGCAACCTGCTTCTAAACAGTCACAGACAAGAAAGCCCCATGGGGCACATGTCTGCTGTAGTCCACTGGGTCTCTGTGGGTCGGCACCAGCACCTGGTGCGGTGGGAGCTCAGACAGCCCTCAGATGACAGTCTGAAACTACCAAGCTTGGGAAAGGGGAGAGATGTGGTTACTGGAACCGTAGGTGTCTGTCTGAGGAGACCCCTGTGATGTGGATCCAGAGGGGTAAAGGGCAGGCAGGCTTGAGGTTTGCCCGGTGGACGTGCTGGTCACGGCGGGGAGGGCGCATAGTGAGAGGGAGGCCCTACCTGTGACAAAGCATTCAGCATCCAGCTGATACTGAAATGTTGGAGGCTTGAGTCTTCCCAGAGGTAGCTTGGAAGAAATGCCTGGCGGTCTACTTCTGGGGGACAGGGGGAATCCACCATTGATAATTATGTGGGAGAGTTTGAGGGCTGACCAGAGTGGCTCGGGTTGGTGTGAAGAGTTGGGGCATGTTGAGGGGTGCCCTGAGAAGGCAGGAGGGAGACTTCTTTGGGGTGAACTCTGAGCCTGCTATGAGCCACTGTGACTGCGAGAAAGGTGCTTGGAGGGAAGGTCGCTGTGGGAATGGTGGAGGAGGAGAGCTCTTTGCCTCAGGACCGGCCTGAGCCGGAGGATGAGGGCAAATGTGAAGGGGTCCTCAGTGTGCCTGTCTGGGAAATGGGAGGTGTGGGCTGGAGCACTGAGGGTGCTGGGCCAGAAGTGGGAGAGCCCCTCCAGAGAGAGGCCAGGCAGGGCTGAGCTGTGAGGGGAAGTGGCCAGGGCCCAGGACCTGGTGGGGATTCCCGAACCGCACGCACCCCTCAGCGGAGGGGTCGTCTGCAGGGATGTAGTGGCCTCTAAGATGGAAAAATCCAAAGCCAGAGTGCTCCTGTCAAGTCTGTCTGACTCCTGGGGACCTAAGGGGCCATGTAGATGGAGTGGTGGTCCTGCCCCGGGAGATGCCCAAGGCTGGTCTTTATGGAAGCCGACCCCACTGCTTTCTCCCCTGCAGCAGCTGCTGGGCTCAGGCCGCTCCCCTCCTGTTAGGAGGTGAGCATTTGAACCACTGCACCACCAGGGCAACCAGCAGGGGCAGCCAAGGACAGAGTGGCCACAGGAGCCCTCGAGTGACCCAGGTGCTGGGCAACTCACAGTTGCCAGGCAGCAGGACAACAGTGCTGGCCACATAGTCCTGTAATAACACGCCTGCCTGCTCAGGGCTGGCCGTGCCCAGCTGGCTGGGAAGGGGACCTGGGTTCAAGGTAGCGGGTTGCCATCGAGTCACTTCTGACTCCTGGTGACCGTGTGTGCAGAGTGACCGAGTCCAGGGGGTTTTCAGAGCTGTGGGTTTTCAAGACCACCAGGTCCTTCTTATGAGGTACTTGCGGGTGGGTTCTAACACTTAAACGTTTGAATAGTAACAGATGGCTTTGTGGTCAAATAATGTAATTACTGGTTTTGATGGTTTGGCAAAAAGGTGGCTGCATCCTTTGACATAAGGGGTGTGTGTGTGGGTGTGTGTGTGTGTGTGTGTGTGTGTGTGTGTGTGTGTGTGTACACACATGCTCTGAGCTGCAGTGTGATGAACGTGGAGAGCTGATGAGCTTCCAGCTTTCTCAGAAGATGGGGAGCATCAGGGATCCCGACAACGGGCCCCTGTGCCTGGCCTCGGATCACAGGGCCAGTGCTGTAACTGGGACTCACACCGAGATCCGCTGACTCAAAAATACTGTGTTTCCAGAACATTCTCCCCACTACCCACAGCACCCTCAGGGCCCAGATGGAGGCTGGATTCTGGATTGTGCTTCCAGGGCCAAGTCAAGAGAGTACAGATATATTAATAGAGCCAGAGTGAGCCCCTAAATTACCGACCAGCGTGGCCACATTGGATGGCTTGCTGGGGCTAGTCATGCTGGGTGGCTCCTAGATCCCGCTTGATGCTGGTGGGGGGCCCCTCTGGCTCACCCACTCACCCTCACCGGTTCTTGGCCTCACTTCCTGCTGGACACTAGTGTCCTCTCCACAGCCTAGGGTCCCTGCTGCCAGACCCCTGGCCCCCCAGCTGCTGCCTGAATCCTCACCCCATCCAGGTCTCCCAGGAAACAACTGCTGCTTCCAGGACACACCTGTAGGCATCGCGTGGGCTCGAGAGACCGGAGCTGAGGTTCACGGCCCCCGCCTCCAGGGGTCCCCACACAGCCCACTTCTCGTTTTTCTGAGGAGTTAGTGTATGAATGCACTGAGCTTGTGTAAAGCCACTGCTGTGGACAGAACCAAGATCCCACAGTGACCTGCACTCAGCCCTGGTCTCCCTGCTCCGGCCCAGTCCCATCCCAAGGTGACGCTGCTGGCCTTTCTCGGTCCTGATTCCTCGGCTCCATGATTTCCTCAAAGCAGTGGTTTTACATTTTAGACTCTTTTTAAATAGCACGTACAGTGCTGTACCAAAAAACTCAAGACTTACACAGTGCTCAGGAGTCTTAGAGGAACAGTGTTCAAACCACGAGGCTGCCAACCCCAAAGACAGATGTTCAAACCCATCAGCTGCTTCCCTGAGAAGGACGAGCAAGCCTGCTTCCACAGAGATTTACAACCTCAGAAACCTGATGAGGGCGTTCTACTCTGTCCTGTAAGGAGAGAGGGTGTGGGGGGGCAACCTGGGGCTGACCCTGAGCCTGGTGGTGTCTGCCCTCCCGGGGCCTACCCTGTGCCAAAGTGCACATCCCAAGATTGATGGGCAGCAGCTGGCGAGGCCCCGAGGCCTGGGCCCCGGCTCCGGCCACGTCGAGGGCGTGTTTACACGCTGCCTGTAGCCTTCCCGCGTCCTTCGCACGGTCTATTTCTGGAGTGCCCACCCCTCCGGAGAGGCCACTTCTCTACCCAGCAAGTACCTTGTGGAAACCTGGGGGCAGGGGGTGCTGGGACCCTTGGCGAGTCCACACGGGCCCCCGGGAGGGAGGAGAGCCTGGCCATGCAGACGTGCAGACTGCAACTTAATAAGACCATAATCTGCTGTTGTCCCCAAAGCAATTATAGATTTCATTTGCCCAGGCAAGAGCTGCAAATTGAATGTGGGGCAGGCGGGGACAGAGATGTCATTTGAAAAGCGAAGCACTGGAGGGACGTGGAGGCGGTCGAGCATGACGTCAGGGGCCCAGTGCCCCAGCCTGTCACCCGAGTCCACGCTCAGGGCGTGATTTACATGCCGTGATGCGATGGCCACGCTCCATCTCAGGCCTGTGGGCAGCGTGTCAGGAGCGGTCACTCCAGAGAACAACACACTTGGGGGAGTGAGGGTCAGCGAAGGACGGGAGGACCCTCAGGGAGGTGGACTGACACAGTAGTTGCATCAGTGGGTCAGGGTGGGACCAGTGTCAGAAGGGAGGATGGCGCGGGCTGGGACAGCGTGAGGTCGCCAGGAGTTGGCGCCAACGTGAACAGCCCTCTCAGAAGCCGCTGTCACTGTAGGTGTGGCACCCTGGCCACCGCTGACCTCTCCCTCCATGGGTCATCTGTCCTAGGATCCTATGACTAAGACCATGCAGGATGCAGCCTTTTGCATCCACCTGTTGTTAAGCGGTGGTTTTGGGTGCCATCGAGTCAAGTCTGACTCCTGGTGACCCTGTGAGCAACAGGGCTGAGCCCCATCCTGTCCTGTGTCGTCTTTACAATCGCCAACACACCACAGCCGTTCGCTGCAGTCACTGTGTCAGTCCATCTGGCTGGGGGTCCGTCTGGCTGGGGGTCTTCCTGTCTTCCACTGGCCCGCCACCTTCCCAGGCATGATGCCTCTCTCCAAGGAGCAGCTTCTCCTAACAGCGTGCCCGCAGTGTGAGGTGAAGCTGGGCCCTGCTGGCCTGCAGCCGGCTTGCTGGCTGGCCCTCCCCAGGCCCGGCTGGCTGTTCTCTGGCCGCGGGATGTCAGCGCTCTTCTCCAGCACCGCCCCTCGGCGGCTCTGTGCGTTTGCGATCCATCCGTGTCCTGCGTGACTCTACCACAATGTCGTAACCCGTTTCTCCCCGTGGGGTAAACATTAGTGCCCTCCCGCTGCTCACGTTCTCCCTGTTGGTTGGAGGTTCAAGTCTGTCTAAAGGCACCTTGGAAAAAAGTTCTGGAAGTTCAGTTCCCTGGGGGACTGTCCAGCGACTGAAAGGTCTGTGGAGCCGGCCCTCTCAGAGGAGAGCTGGGCCCCACGGCCGCTGGTTTAGGGGTCCCTGTGTGGATTACGAGGCTTTTCCACATGTCGCTTGAAGGGGTCCTTCGGGTTGTCCCCGCATGGCTGTAACTACCAGTAAGTGTTTGAATGCAGTCTCGGTGTGGACGTGTGTCTCTGCTCCTCTCGGGGAGTAAGGACCTGGGCTCACTGGGCTTTAGGGCTGCCTGTGACTTGTTCACAGTCACACCATTTTGCATCCCTTTCTTCTGCATCCTTGCCGATGCCCAGAGACATTGAAGATAGATTACCTGGCAGGAGCCGAGGAGCAGGGGGGATCCTGGCTGCCCTCATCTGACTTCGAGATTCCTTTCCCACATTAGTCCCTGTAAGAGTGTCAGATGGGCCCTTGCCTGGCTTGCCCCCTGCCGCTCTGTCCCCATCTCTGGTGACAGTGGGTTTCCTGTACTGGGCCAGGGGTTCAAGCTTGACCACGTGTTTGGGCTTGACCACACTGGATGAAGGACCATGGCCCAGCCGTGTTCCCCCCAGTCCCTGCTGTGCACATGGACTCCCTATCTTTGTTGTGTGCATGACAGTGACACCATCCCAGTGACCAAGCGCCTCAAAGCCCAGCCCAAACCAAGCCCCCACAGTGACCTGGACTGGACCCAGCAGGAACAAGATAGAGAGGGACAGAGCAGCGCCAGGCCCAGCGCTGGGGGGGCCGCTGATCGGGCTAGTTGTAGGGGGAATAAACCTCATGAATTAAACAGCGTCCCCAGAGAGTGGACGGCACCTTGGGAGTTCTGCCCCCTGGGAATGTTGCAGGGTGCTACACTGCTCTCCCCTGAGAAGCAGGCACCTGGGGGCTGGGATGCCGGTCGGCCACGGGGCTGAGGCCTTGGCAGCAGTTGGCACTCGTAGGAGAGTGGTCGGGGAAGCCCGCACAGCCGAGAGGGCAGAAAGCGAGGGGTCAAGGAGCAGCCCGTCTCTCCGCCTGATGCCAAGGGCCACCCTCTCAGCCACCTTACCCTGTGGGGAATAGTGACATCTAAGGCTCTGGGACCTTCCCGCCTGTCTCAGTGGTCTCCAAAGATTGGGGTGCAGGAGGACTATTAGCGTGTCCAGCCTCAGCCGAGACCCAAGTCAGGCCTGTAGGGGAGCAGAGGCTAGCCTGGGGGACACTGCACGTGGTAAGAGCCCGTGCGTAGAGCTCAGGGTCAACCAGGGCAGTTCCCTGCATCGTCCTGGGGTGGACCTGCCCTCAGGGACCCGTCAGGGGATGAAGTAACACTCCTGTGTCTGTCCCCGTCCAGGTGCAAGTTCTTCAGTCTGACTGAAACACCGGAGGACTACACCATCATCGTGGACGAGGAGGGCTTCCTGGGTGAGTGGTCCCCGGTCAGCTGGCAAGTCCGCATGGTCTGCCCCTCTTCTCCCAGCACCCCTGGCTGGCCCCTGCCCTGCCTCCCCACTCCTGAGCCTACACTTGGAAGGTCCCAGGTCACCCCACAGGAATGAAATAAAATAACCAGTTAAGAGGAACCAGGGTGCTCTGGTGGCCTAGTGGAAAGAACCTACACCGGCAACCCCAAACGTACGCAGTTCGAATCCATCAGGTGCTCCTCAGGAAAAGGAGGGCAGTCTCCTCCTGTGCAGTTTACTGTCTCTGAAAACCTGCTGGAGGGTCAGCTGTGAGTTGGTTCCGACTCGATGGCACACAACTGTTGCCAACCATTTGTGCTCAATTTCTGGCCTAAAGGTTGGCAGTTCAAACCCACCTTGTGTCTGCCACAGAAAAAAAGCCTGGCAATCCATTTCCATAAAGATTTCTCCCACGGAGCAGCTGGGACATGGTCCATAGGGAGTGGTGCTGCTAACCTCTCTGCTGGTTCAAATCCAGCAGCCCCTCTGGCCAGTCTGTGGGAGGAAGATGGACGCTCCTCCAAGGCTGTGGCCTTGGGGACCTGCTGGAGGGCCAGCCGTGAGTCACGTCCAACTCAATAGCAATGAATTTCTTTATAATCACCCAGGAGCCCTAGTAGCATAGTGCATAACAGATCAAACTACTTACCAAAAGGTCAGTAGTTCAAATCCACCAAGGGAGAGAACGATGGCTCATCTCTTCGCATAAAGGCTTAGAATTTCCAAAACCCAGTAGAGGGTCACTAGGAGTCGGAACCTGTCTTAACAGCCGTGGGCTTGGTTCTGGTTTGTGCATTCACCACTGTCAACCCCAGAAGGGTTCCATCACCCTAGAAAGTAGCCCGTACTCATGTCCCATCCCCGCCCCCAACCTCAGATGTCTTCACTATTAAAGTTTCTTATATTTTTCCTGCTCAGAGGTAAAGCTTTATGGAGTGCTTGCTGTGCTATGATTTATTGCAGAGTTTGCCTTATCAGCACAACAAACGGAAAGGAACCCTGGGGACACAATGTTTAAATCTCTTGGCTGCTAACCTCAGGGTCAATAGTTCAAACCCACCAGTTGTTCCACAGGAGGAAGATGAGGCTGGCTGCCTCCAAAAAGAGCCACAGCCTCAGAAACCTACCTCACAGTTCTCCTCTGTTCTACAAGGTCATGAGTCACCATTGACACAGTGCTGGTCAGTGGGTGGGTCCCCGGTGCAGACAGGTCACTTGCTTGGCTGCTGCTGATATGTTAATGATTCGGGGCCACTCAGAGCACTTCAATAGAAAGGCCTGGTGATCTGTTTACAAAAACTCAGCATCATTTGATGATGTCCTGGAACACAGCTGTCCTCTGACATGCACCCTCAGACATTGATGTTGTCATGGTGCAGCTGTCCTCCGAAACGTGAACTCAGCCAGTGATGGCGTCATGGAACACTGCTGCACTCTAACGTGCACTTGGACCTTGATGACGTCATGGTGCACAGCTGTGCTCTAACGTGCACTTGGACCTTGATGACGTCACGGTGCACAGCTTGTACTCTGACACATACACTCAGCCATCGATGACATCATGGTGCACAGCTGTACTCTCACAGGGTCACCGTGAGTCCAAATTTCATCAAGGGAGAGGCTGGGAATGGAGAGGTGAAGTCAGCAGGTGGTAAACTATTAAGTGATCCACGATGTTACTTTCTTCAAAAGGAGAAAGCAACAGATTAGACCTTTTCAAAACCTCCATTCCAGAGGTTAGAATGTATTAGATGCTCTGCTGGAGAAGGAGGGGCAATCCCCTCCTGTACCAGTCAGATCTGATTTGATGGTACACACACACACACACACACACACACACACACACACACACACACAAAAAGCCACAGACAATAATAAAATTTAAAAAAAAAAAAAACACAACAGTTCCACCCGGGAGATAGCTACTAGTAACTTTGTAGCATTTCCCTTTCCACCTTGTTTGAACCAATTGTTACCATTTAACATTGTAGCTTAAGCTCCTACAAACTCTGATAGCAGAGAAGGGGTGGGTGCACCTGCGCCTTAGCCACCTCCCCAGGGTTTGACTTGGAACAATTTTCACTGTTTCTCTGGTGATGAACACTTAAATGCAGAAAGTTTTTCTGACTTGAATTTATTCCTAAAAGGGGCCTGAGAAATGGCATTGTGGGTCAGAGTCAAGCAGTTTATGTTTTTGATTTGTGTTGGTGAGGTGACTGTGTCAGTAATGAATGAAGAAGTGGTGACAGATTTGTACCAACACCCTGCCACTTCCTGCACATCTGCCTGCACTGTAATCCGTCGCTAACTGGACCATTGTGATTCATAGAGTTTTCTTTTTTATTGTAATTTCAGAGAACCTTTAAAGCTGGTTGGTTTTTCTTTCAAGCATTCATGCACATTTTGCTCTATACCATTAATGACGACACCCACAAAGGTAACAGCACTTTACCCACTTCCTCCCTATGATATACATTTCCACTCGGCCTTCTTTTTTACCCCTTCCTGGCTTCTGAGTGTTATCCGTGGCCAAAAACTACTCCTTTGATGTTATGTGGTTGGTTATACTGAGAGTCTCTCTACCAAGTGTTCTTGGTTACCTATAAATCCTGTCTGTCATTTGACTGAAAGTTGAGTCCCACCAGTGAATTTTGTTCCAGATTTGAAGGGTCACTAACAGCTCCCACCTCAGGGCTCCACCAGTCTTCACTGGACTAGTAAGCTGCACAGTTTTTACGTTTTTGGGTTTGTGCCACGTCAGTGATGATAGCCAGATACCATCTATTTTTTTCTCATCTGAGTCATGGAAGCTGAGGTTCATGCAGTAAAGACTCAGAGAATTTACACAGACTGACTTCCATCTGAGTGTGGAAGCTAGTAGTAGTAGTAGTAGTAGTAGTAGTAGTAGTAGTAGTAGTAGTAGTAGTAGTAGTAGTGGTAGTAGTATAGTAGTGGTAGTAGTAGTGGTAGTAGTAATAGTGTGTACTGTCAAATCAGATCTGACTGGTACAGAAAGAAATTGCCCCTTCTTCTCTAGCAGAGCATCTGGTGGATTCAAATCATGTACCTCTGGGATTGCAGTGCAGCTTTTTGCCACTAGGCCACCAGAGCACCCTATGTTTTCATTTTCTTAAGGGCCCTGAGCAGAGCTGCAGAATCACATCTCCTAAGGTGACAGAGGCACCTCCCAAGAGAAGCCTCCAAACCCACCATTCCCACCCCACCCCCTGAGGACCTGCCTTTCACCCAGGGACCCAGTCAGAACCTGCATGCTAGCAGGATCCACAGGGCCCAGGGACCTTGCTAAAATGCAGCGTGAAGCTCTTTTCCTCAGGAGCTAAGCTTGGCTTCCTCCTGCGACCTCTCTCTCTCTCTCTCTGAGTGAGGGTCTCCCTGCCAGGCTGCACTCCCTGGTCAGCAGATTGCAGCTGTTTGCATATTCAAGAAATCAGATCACCCTGCTGTCAGGTATGAAAGGAAAAGAACTGCTCCTGGGGCCGCTGTTGTCGTTAGGAAAGCAGGTTGCCAGGCCTTTCTTCCTTGACACAGTGGGGTGAATTCGAACCACCAACCTTTAAGTTAGTGGGCAAGCAAGCATAAACAGTTTGCACACAGCAGGGATCACGGATAATCCATTGGTGCCTGAGAAAAAGCAGGGCATGTTTACTTAATAGCAAATACCTCTCACCCCTTTCCCACGCTGCTGCAAGTAGGAAAGATCCAGAACTGCTCGCGTGTGTCATTCCAGCTGCTCGCAACACAGGCTGGAGCTCCGGACCCGCCAGAGCTGCAGTGTTGCAGGGATTCTTTGAAAAGACCCATTTTACAGATGACAACACCGAGACATGAAGCGTCCTTTAACTTGCACGGGATCACTGAGTGGCAGTGGGTAGCCAGGATTTGAAACAGCAAGCTCCTCAGGGAACTTTTAGCCTAAATAAATAAAGGGAAAGTGCACAGTGTAAAAGGCCCCTGACGGTGTAGTTTGCAACGTCACACTGCTAACCAGAAGATCGGCAGTTCGAACCCCCCAGGAGGAAGAGGAACAGTGTCCTCCTGTAAGGATTTACAGCCTCAGAAACTCAATGGAGGGTCACAGTGACCTGGAAGCACATCTGCAGCAGCGGGTACAGTTCTCAAATGCACAGAGGACACGTGGGCAGCATAGATGCACCTGACCCCGGCCGTGGTCTTTTCGATCATCTTGTGTGCCAGTGAGATCTGGGCAGTGAAGAGAGAAGACAGGGGAGTCGATGCAGGCCCGCTGTGTTGTTAGCTGAGGATACAGACTGTCCCTTAGAATCGAGGGTGCAGAGACTTCACCTCACTTGCTTTGTCACATCGTCAAGAAAAACCTAGTGGCCAGGAGAAGCTGTCAAGATTGGAAAAGGGTCAGGGGGACGGAGTGACGTGGTAACCGTGATCGTGGTGTTGGACTTAGTGGCCATCGTAAAGATGGTGCGGAGCCTGATGACGTTTGATTCTGCTGTGTAGTAATGTACTGAACCCCAAAGAGACCAGTGCCTGGGGCAGTGGGAAGAGGGGTGACCGGTGTGGCCTGGGCCCCTGGAAGGGCTGCTGGAGAGCAGGGCTGGGGCCGGGCACGGGCAGGGATTGGAGTGGACAGAGCTGCTGTGGGAGTCAGTGACCTGGAATTGCACTCACCCCTCACCTCACCTGGAGGGGTCAGTCTGAGGAGGCTGTGAGTAGGGAAGAGAATGAGCTGGGGGCTGTGAGTGACCCGGTGGGGACAGAGGGAAGGAGAGTGCTGCATCTCAGCCCGCAGACCTTGCCCCTCTGGACAGACCTCGTGGCCATTCCTGGCACCAGCCGGGGTGCCTGTGGTGTTTGTTCTCTGGCTGTGTCACCATTGTTAAGCTTTCCTGGCCAGAGACCAGCAGTCACCTGCCCACGGTCCCTGTCCCGAGGCTGGAGGCCGATTGTGAGTAGGACTAAGCGGCC